GAGGGAGAGCGAGGTTTGGGTGTCTCCTGAGGGCCTGAGTGTGTCCCCTCAGAGTGTGGGTGCTGGGCTGTAGAGGAAGAGCTGGGGGTGGCCCTCCCTGACACAGGGAGGGGTTTTGTCCATCTCACTCCAAGGGGTGATTGGTCAAACATCTGCACTCCCCCCATGCTCTCTGTCCAGCCCCAAGTCCTGCTCAGGGGGTGTGGGAAGGCCACTGAGGGTAAAAAGATAATGGCACAGAAGTTATCGGGAAAAATGTAGTTGCTGCTCCCTGGATGGAACACAGTCAGCACACCCAACCTCCCACACACAACAGTCCAAGGGAGACTGAACGAAGCCACAGCAGAGCGGAGACACTGTGGCGCTGTCAGAACCCTGGCAGAGGAGGGAACTCAATCGTACTTTGTGGCTGAGCAGCTGCACAGCAGCCGAAAACCGAGGCAGAGACAGGAACATGTCCTGCCCTTGAATCAGCAACCCTGGCAAAATCCCTGTCCTGGCACTGCCCGTGTCCCATCCCAGGGTTATCTCAGGTGCTATCCTGAGGTATCCCCACATGAGCTCCCTTGGTTAGAACATGGTGCTAATAATGCCAAGGTTGCAGGTTCAATCCCAATAGGGACCATTTGCTTAAGAGTTGGACCTGATGATCCTTCAGGGTCCCTTCCAACTTGGAATATTCTGTGACCCGTTGTTGTACCCACCCCTAAGGGACAACCACCCCTCACTGAGTAAGATGTATAACTAACGTCACTCAAGTTCCACCTAAATATAGAGAAATAGCATAAAAATGAGTTACAAATGGGGAGGAGAAGGAAAGACTCCACTCTGTTACCTTTGAGGTCACTCACTGGGCTGAACCTGTCTCTGCCCCATAGGGGCCCACTGCATAAGAACTGTACTCTGTGTGCTGAAGGATTGTCTCGAGCCAGCTTTTATTGGGAATTAGAGATTGTCAGTGTATTGCTTTGAATTAGGGAATCCTGGAACCTTAACCTGTCCCAATTTTATTAAGTGTTACTCTGTAAACTCTTACTGTGAGTCCTTCTCAGGTGCTGGCACTCGCTGGCAGTGGGTGAAGGTGCAGAGCTGGGTGGGGGTTTTGTGCTTGGGTGTGACCCTGAACAGTTCAGTCAAACCCCCTCCGACCCAGTGGACTGTTCAGTGAAGGATCTCCATAATGGGATGGGACAGACTGGTCGAGCATGAGGCTCTCAACCTTCCTGAGGCATTGACAGACCAATCAAACACCAAGGGTTTGAGGAAATCTCCCCTGTCATGTGACAGGGGGACAGTGTGTCCCACAGGGTCAGAGAGAGTCCATCCAGGCAGCACCAACCAAGCCTGGAAAGGGAAGGTGGGCAAATGTTAAGGATCTCTAGAAATGGGGAGCAAAGCCAGACACTGGGAGAACTGGACTGTGGCCACTCCAGAGCGCAAGTGAAGCCGAGAGGAGAGAGAGAGAGAGGCTCTGGAGAGCATGGACTTGCAAGGCCTTTGGGAGTTTTCTTGGCTTCTACTGAAGCCACAGAAATGTTGCCACCCAGGATATTCCCTCATTCAGAGATGCCGACAAAGTGGGAAAGAACATTTTCTGGCAATGTCAGCCCTCCCATGAAGTGGCCAAAGCTGTGCAGGACACGCTGATGTGCATAATTGTTCCTCCAGGTGCAGACAAGAGGAGACTCAGCAGGACCACCTGGAATGCAGCGGTGGGCACGGCAAACACGGAGGCAGTAAATGCTGTTACTGCCTGGCTTGTTTATATCAAAGACTTCATTTTGGCTGTGTCCATCGGTCTGACTATTTTCATATTTGTTCACAAGGTGCTCCCTGCATGGGTACAGGGTGCACAAGACAGAGTGAGTTGGTGGGCCTGGGGGGAGTTACCAAACTGGTATTGGATGGCTGCTATCAGCCAGAGCAGCCATGGGGTTTTCTGAGCTAAGGTGCTCTGGGTGCCCAGTTTGCCACTGCCCAAACTCAGCAGAGATTTGTGCTGTGAGCTGGTGCCCCGTTTTCTGCCCAGAGCTCTCTGTGCCCACAGCTCCCCTG